CCTAAAATACAAATTGACTCTTATTTATAGAATTTAATATATATATATTTTGGTTCTTTTCTCTCTTCTTCCCACCTTATCCCTTGTCAGTTCCAAACAGACAGAACAGATAAACAAACAAGCCCCCTGCCCTCTCTCCCTTCTACTATTAAGGACCCTTAAAGCATGTGATGTTGTCTTAGCATGGTACCTGCTGGGTTTTGTTTTGTTTTTTTTAAAGGCCATTTTGGGGGGTTATTTATTTTTTAAGAAAAAAAAACTGCAAAAATTATATATTGCAAGGTGTGCTGGTCTGGTTTGGGTGAATTTCAGGGGAAATGAGGAAAAGAAAAAAGGAAAGAGATTTTTAAAGCTAATTCTCATCCTTCTCCTCCTCCTCCTTCTCCCCCCTCTTTCCTTAGGCCTTTTGCATTGAAAATGCACCAGGGGAGGTTAGCGAGAGGGAAGTCATTTTAAGGAGAACAAAGCTATGAAGTTCTTTTGTATTATTGTTGTGGGGGGAGGCTGGGAGGAGATGGGGGAAGACAGCAGACAAAGCTAAATGCATCTGGAGAGCCTCTCAGAGCTGTTCAGTTTGAGGAGCCAAAAGAAAATAAAAATGAACTTTCAGTTCAGAGAGGCAGTCTATAGGTAGAATCTCCCCACCTCACCCCCCATCGTGGTTATTGTGTTTTTGGACTGAATTTACTTGATTATTGTAAAACTTGCAATAAAGAATTTTAGTGTCGATGTGAAATGCCCCGTGATCAATAATAAACCAGTGGATGTGAATTAGTTTTACGTCAATGTCTGATGGTTTCTTTTTATCCCCCTCCTCTTTCTGGTCTGGTAACATCCCACCTTCTCTATAGTTACCTAAGTTTACTCTAAGCAAACACACAAATCTTAACTCTCAACTCTAGTTTTACAATATCCTTAAAAGAACCAATAAGGGGGTTGGGATAGGGGATCCTCAGAAGAGGGCATGTGGGAGATTAAGGCTGATTTCTCCTGTCCCTTCCCTCTGACTTTGCAGAGTTCAGACTTTCATGGGGGTACTTACAGTGGGGCTGGGGGGGGGGTCTCACTTTTCTATAGTTAGGCACAGTGCTTTCTTTTTTCTATTTCCCTCTCTTACCTTCTCCCTTCTCCATGCTGAACAGGCCTGCCTAATTTCAGACAAGAAGGCAAGTTTAGGTAGAAGGGAAAAGAGTTTTGATCTTTTAGGGCTTTTTTTTTTTTTGGAGGGGGGAGGGATTAAGAAAGATGCCCCTTCAACATGTACGTTCTCCTTAAAAGAAGAAAGATTTTGAGCTGGTGACTCTGAAGCAGCAAAGTGACCTGTCAGGATGGCTTCTCTGTTTGTTTAGACTTGGAAAGAAGGGTGAAGTGGAGGCCAGAGGCCTGGGAGGCCCCTTGCATGGGTAGGCCTCAAAGCCTGATGCCTGGAGATAATGAAGAACTTTTATTTTTTCCCCCCTAACTTTTTATCATGGACCTGCCAGGTGTTGAGAAAAGATACAGGGCGAGGCAGGGACCACCCTGTTTCAGCAACCTCCCAGGTCCCGGCAAGGCTAAGGGAAGGCTCTCTGGCTGTAAAATTTTTGTTTTAAACTTATTTTCTTGGGGCTAAAAACCAAAAACAAAAAGAAGCAAAATAAAAAAACTGGTCTGGATTACCTGAATAGTTAATTTAAGCCAAAGGTTCCCAAATAATTCTGGTTCTGAAGACCAAGCTCTAAGCATGACCTGCTCAAATTTTTGCTTGTTTGTTGGGATGTGGGGGAGGCAGCTGGCGAGTTTCTCAGGCAATTTATCCAAATTTTAGGATGGAGCACTATCAGAAGTAGAAAAGAGAAGGAGGAGAGATCTGGGTACGTAGAAGAGCCCGGGATACTCCTCCCCTTTCTCCCCAGATTCTGGAGTGAAAGGCAACAAGGGGACCAAGTTGTAAAAATCTGTTTGGTGTGCTCTGGATTTATTTCCTCTTTTACCACTTGCTGGCTGGCTGGTTCTTGGAGGGGTGTGTGTGTGTGTGTGTGTGTGTGTGTGTGTGTTGAGAGGAATCACTTGGTCCTGTAGGTCTACTTTCTCCTCCCTCAATGGTGCCCTGGAGACAGCAAAACATGCTGCCTACAGTGCAAGGAAGCAGGGCCAACAATTATCTAGAGTTATTTTATGTAATCAAGTGAATTAGGGGCCAAATCTGACTAGAGCTGCTGTCATCTTGAGAGAGTTGACTTTGGGGCAGGAAGAGAGGGTCTAGCTGTGCTTGGGAAAAGGAAAGGAAGGTCTGAGGGGTGGACCTGCGTGTCTTTCCAATCCTGTGAGGAAGCGAAGATGGGAAGAGAGGGGTGAAAAAAGAAAATTAAGATTCATAGTCCTTTCCTAACTTTGCTCGTTTGGTTTTAGGGGAATTTATTCCCTCTCCTCCTGAAAATGGAAAAGATGAAAGCAAAGAGGGGGGAAACCACTGTCTTTTATTTCTTCAGCTTCTCCCTGAACTTGTTGAAGGAAAAGCAGATTAAAAGAATTGGGACAGTCTTTTATTTCCCCTCTTTAGGGGCTCCAGTTTCTCCTTCTGCTCCTCACACATATACGCATAATCATTCTTTCTGTATCTCTATCCCTCTTGGTCTGAAACATCAGAAATCCATAATTCTTGACCAATAAAATAAAACTAAACCCCTTTACATTTGAGTTTTTAAGATTTTGGCCTCTGGTCTTCCCTCCAGTGGGCTCCATTCTCTCCTCTTTCCCTAAAGCTCCCCTTTGCCTTAGACCTGACCACCCAGATATAAGGATCAGGCTGCTGGGGAGGGTTGGGGAGAGAAGTGTGTGGGGCCAACCTGGGCCAGGGTCTTTAGCTCTGGCAGGCTTGGTCCCCTGCAGCTGTTGCTCCCCCCGATGCTGCTACAGCCTCACTGGGAAGCCCAGGGCTGAGGGCTGGGGCTTTTTATTGAAGTTGGGTTGAGCAGTGGGGAAAGGCTGAGGGGGGGTGGAGGGGGGGACGCTGCCCAGGTTCACGGGGAGGGCACAGCATTTTCTCTCACATCGCCTTTATATTCACCAGCGCCTCTGACCTTTCCCCCACCCCCATCTCCGACCCTCCCAAGCCAGCTCTGGCTCAGCCCCTGGTCTCCAGATAGGATGCCACTGCCTTTGTGGGGGTGGCGGTTTCTTGCCCAGAGTCATGGAAGAGGCAAGGCGCATGAATGCCTGCTAGCACCTTGTACCTCTCTCTCCAATGGCCAAGTAAAAAGAAGACAGGGTGAAACGACGACACCAATTTTCCAAGGTCCTTCTCTCCAAGCACCAAGAGATCCCCACAGGTCAAAAAGCCCCTTGACATGTAAGTAGTTAGCACTCGATCCCTCTGGGGGCGAGACGCATAGCAGTTTCAATTCTATCTCTGTTTGCCATTCAATTTTTATCTCAACTCTGGTCTTGGGGAGGGAAGGCGGGAAATCTAATCCTGAACGGACGGCTTCTACTTGGGGAAAGTGGAGTTTCTGCGCTGACTGGTGTACCTGAGAGAAAAAACTTGGCCTGAAAAGGGGAGAGAGCTGAGAAAGTGAGCCTGGGGGAAAGGCCAAGCAGGGCAACTATATTTCTTTGAAGGCTTCTCAGTGCTGTTTGTATGAACTTGCCTACAAAGTTTTTTCTGCAATCTGTGCATCAGCTTTTTTCATGCATGGATTTGGTGGATCCAGAGTGCCTGTGTGTATTTTGGGGGAGTGGTAAGGAAGATAAGACAATTAAAGGGTTCTCCAGAGCTTGGGGCCAGGGTAGCCCCTGCTAGGCACAGTTTGTCTGCTTTTCTATGATTATGGGACAGTGACTACCAAGGGAATCCTTGAGATTGAGAATGGTGTGATGACGGGAGGAGCAGTGGGCTGGGGCAGTTTCAGCAACCTTTTCTCTGCTTTTTGCCCAGTCCTGGGAGAGTTTGCCCTCACAAAGCCACTTCTCATGGTTTCCACGGCTTCTCTCTGGCACCCCACCTTTGGAGCGCTAATTCTAATGGAAAGTTCCCCTTTCAATAAACCATTCTCAGCTTGGAAAAAGAGAGGGAGGATCCCCCAACTCCAGCGGGCATCAGAGGGAATATTTATTGCCTCTCTGGATGTCATTACCTAAGAATACAATTTTATGAACTTCCTAATCTGTTAGCTTGATTTATCTGGATGGGCAGGAGCCCAAAATAAACATTTGGGGGATTTGGTAGAAAAGGAAGTCTTTGCCTCTGACCAATCTTTCTGCTAGAACTGACCTGCTTTTTCTGCACCCCGGTCACTTAGCCACATTTTAATTTTTCTCCTGCAGCGGGTACCGAGTTTTAGCTGCCTCTTGAGAAGGAAGACTGGTAGGGTGCATTGTTTGAGCCAGAGACCCAAAGGGGTCCCTCAGCCACCTTAAAACCTGTGCAGCTTGAGGAGCTCAGATCCCTTTTGGGTTTGGGGAGCAGAGAAGAAACCAAGGTTTGCTCACTGCCCTCCAGATCCACCAGTCCTGGGAGAGTTTGCCCTCACAAAGCCACTTCTCATGGTTTCCACGGCTTCTCTCTGGCACCCCACCTTTGGAGCGCTAATTCTAATGGAAAGTTCCCCTTTCAATAAACCATTCTCAGCTTGGAAAAAGAGAGGGAGGATCCCCCAACTCCAGCGGGCATCAGAGGGAATATTTATTGCCTCTCTGGATGTCATTACCTAAGAATACAATTTTATGAACTTCCTAATCTGTTAGCTTGATTTATCTGGATGGGCAGGAGCCCAAAATAAACATTTGGGGGATTTGGTAGAAAAGGAAGTCTTTGCCTCTGACCAATCTTTCTGCTAGAACTGACCTGCTTTTTCTGCACCCCGGTCACTTAGCCACATTTTAATTTTTCTCCGAGTTTTAGCTGCCTCTTGAGAAGGAAGACTGGTAGGGTGCATTGTTTGAGCCAGAGACCCAAAGGGTCCCTCAGCCACCTTAAAACCTGTGCAGCTTGAGGAGCTCAGATCCCTTTTGGGTTTGGGGAGCAGAGAAGAAACCAAGGTTTGCTCACTGCCCTCCAGATCCAGGGGCCTCTTTTCAGAACTGGCTCTCCCTCCATTCCTCGGGATTTTTCCACTCTTCTCTCTGGTGTCAGCTCTGTAGCTTCTTTGAACGCAGGGTCCATCCAGAAGCTGAGCCCACATCCATGCAAGGAGGGGTAAGGCGTCTGCAGCTCATCCTTCCTGCTTTCAGTTCTGAGGCCCAGCTGACAAACCAGGAGGCCTGGGAAGCAAGGGTGGGTAGGGAGGGTCTGGGAGTGTGCTTGCCGGGGAATAGGGTTACAGAGTTTAATAATGGGAAGGGACGATTTTAAATGTCCAGCCCCCATCAGCAACTGCCAGATTCTGGAAGATCAGGTTCTCTGGGGTCTGCTCTGCCAGCCGAGATAGGTATGGATCAAGCCCAAAGAAGTGTCACCTCTACTCACTCCTCCTTTCGGACCCTCCCTCTCAGCGTCAGAGATTGCGAGAGCAAAGTATATTTGAACTTCTGGGCAGAGAAATCCTAAAACGGAGTCTGTAGGCAGGCACTGCCAAATAGCCCAACCCTAGGTTCCCGCTCTAGTCTCTGGCTTCCCGGAAGCCGGGAGCAAGAGAATGGGGCACAAAGCGGCTTGCCTTCATGGGGGTCCCAGCGCCGGGGTCTTGAGGATCGCGAGCCCCGCAAAGGCGAGATGCAAGAGGCTGGCGGTAGCCTGGCTCCTCCTCTGGGTTCCACGCCGAGTCTGCCCGGGGGCGCGTTGTCGCCTTCAACTGGGTCACGACCCCAGGCTTGGTTGGAGGACAATAGGGCGCTGGGCTGGGAGGCGGGCGCGGGGAACCGGCTGCGTGGCCGCCTGAGCGGGTTCACTGCGCGATGAACCCGCCCCACACCCCTGGGGTTTCGCCCTTCAGAGCCCAAGCGCCGTTTTCTCTCCCCTATTCCACCTTCCATTTTTTCATAGAAAATTGAGCGTGCTCTCAATGAATTGCTCTTCGACTGACCAATACCCCAATGTTACCATTACCAGATAAGATTTCCTTTTTCTTTACAAATGAAAGGATAGTTTTCTGAATTACAAGAGCAGGAAATGGGACCCTCTCAAGATTTGGGCGGGGGGTGAGGGGGTGGG